CAGTTCTCTAAACCATTATCACCCTCTTCTTGTTAATTTATAAGTACAAGTCCCAAAACAAAATGTCGGGTTGAAGGGATATCTGAAAAATCAGTTGTCAACAAAAGTCCGCCTGCATTTCCTAAATGTTGCTTAGTTACGGACAGATTCTTGTTCTTGGGTTTAACAACTGCTGCATGGTGTTTCAACTTCTTAAACAATGTTGATGAATTGTTTATCACTGTTCTGTCCCCTTTCATTCTTGACCTTCCGTTCCTTCTCTGGAATGTCTGGTAGATCTCTAAGTACTTGGTCATATCTCCATCGACACCTGCCTTGTGTAAAAGCAATATTGCAAGATGACAAAACGTGCTCCAGAGTTCCTGTCTCTTGTACAGGTTTTGTAGTGATGGTAGCAGACCATTATAAGAGTTCTTTGTAGGAACTGAATGTGATGTAGATCTATCCCCCACATTTTTCACCATATTAACATTCTATCTCAGTCACTTGTTGCCTATTTCGTCCATACGCCTTGGTCTCTCATTTCCATAGGTCTGTCTTTTCTCGTTCTTCCATTTTCCGAATTTTCTCATTTACCATTCCACCTTTCTCCGTATTGTTGCTCTTTATTTAGTTCTTTCCGTGGGTGCTTCTTAGCCCATGTGTCCCCTCTGCTACTGTGCCAACAATATATGCATGTTTCTGTAATTTTTTTTTTTTTTTGCATGATGGACTGCAATGATAACTGACCGTTTTCTCCCTGTTTTTACTTTAATTCCATCTCTTCTCGTCTTTTGGGTCTTTGACTGTTTGATATTTACTTGATCTTTCTAGCTTTCACAAAACCCTTACAGGCTTGTCCACCATAGATGGTATCCACTTGCCTTGAAGCATCAGTAAAGTTAAATTTCTTTGTGATTTTACCCCTCCTTTTAATATTTGTTGACATCCCTAATAACAAAACATGAACACTTTTTCATTCTTATTCTTGGGGGTACCCATTCTTTATCTGCGATACCTCCTATACCACTGGATAAGAAGATGGGGGACAAGGCGGGCAGAATGCCTATAGCGTCAGATATTAAAGCTGAACACGATTCGTAAAAGGAATCTGTCCGCCATTTTTGTTCCCGAGCCTCTCTACTCTGCAGACCCCTATTAATAGGGCAAAACTTAGTCACTGTTCAGTGTAATCAGTCGACACCGGTGTAGGCGGACGTATGCTATACAGAACTCGGTAGCGAGAATAATAACGTAATACTTCGTCTAATGCAGGAAAGTAAGATACCAAATAAATTTACAATTATAGTTGTATAAGTCAGTGCAGTATACAAACAACACAGATTAACGTAACTGCAATAAAAAAAATATAAACAAAGGTAATGCAAGATAACCAGCACGAACACGGGTCGCCATTCCACGCCGATACCCGTGACAATAAAGCAGTCAGGTGTAATGAATGCGACGAGTATACCCTAGTACTGATGTATCGTACATAATGCTATCAAAAATGGCGTATGCCTATTTACGAGTCGTGTTCAGCTTTAAGAAATCATATTCAATATACATGTATATGAATTGAGTATTTAAATTAAGTTCTCATTATTGAAATTTATGAAATTATGAGAAAAAACATGTTCTGAGAGAAAAAAATCTCGTAAAAAATTATTCTTTTATAAAGATACTTGATGGTATTCGTGGGATTTGGACTCTTGCAATAAAAATCCGAAGTATCAGACTGCTTTGAGACTAACGCGCTAACCATTATGCTATATGTACATGGCTCATGGCGCACTTGGGCATTTAAATCATGTTTGTGATATGACCCTTGACTTAATGGACTTGAAGCATTTTTCAGAAAGATGCGAATGTTTTGTCAAAAAATTGTAATTTTAAGGTATAGTGGGTCTTTGCTCCATGTTTTTTAAAACCAAAAAATGTATATTTTACTGCAAACTTTTAGGATTATTTTTCAAAAAAATGGAGCGAAGACCCACTCATATTGAAAAATTTTATTAAAGTATGAGAAAATGGTCTTTTTTGTTCTATTTAGTTTGTGTATGCTTTTTTCATAGGCGAATAATTTCAGTCTTTCTGAGACTTCTGTAAATTGTAGAGATTTTCCATAAAAATATATTTTAATATTAGACGAAATATCAAATAAAATTTGGATATAATTGGGATTTAATTTTTCACTTCATATCTGTCGCACTACAGGCACTTCGTCCGCCTTATCCATCCATCTTTTTAAATTCTTCATCAAAATCTTTTATAACATAGTCCCATTGTGAATTCCCGGTGTTAAATCTCTTAGACATGGATGCAAACGTATTTCTCAATGATTATCCAGACTTTGTATAATTTATCATTACAATATCCTTGTATTCATCGTCTTCATCTAAAGCGAGACAACTTATAAATATTACATGATTTATTGTGTCTACCTATATTTTCTTAATCGGGGGTGGGCACTTAATAAATTCCCCGACAAGAAACAAAAAAAATCCATTAAACATTATTACTGAGGGAGCACGAGCGTAAACAAGAGGGTCATGGTATATCAACAATGGTGAATAACAACAGGAAATATAACTTCTTTCAGTATACAGTACATTTCTACAAAATTAACAGCCTTTCCCAGCAACAGAAAACTTGACCCAATGATTCAGAATTTCACAAATCTGCTAAAATTACACCTTTCTTGTTACAACTTTACATTGTGACTATGCTTACTTACTTACTTATCCTCTCCGTGCCTCGGAGGACGCATGAGGCCAAGGGTAAGTAAATGTTGTAACCAATTGTTTTTTTACGGGAGGATGTGAAATGCCTCAAGTCCAACCTCCAAGTTTATCTCTGGTGGGTCAACATAGTAGTTGCTAACGGTCTCCTACTAAATCCTGATTGTAATCAGAGTTTTCTCTCCTAGATGAGTTGCCGACAAAGGCTTTCGAGCCCTTGCAAAGTTAGCCTGGGGCAGAAAGGTGCCCAGTTTTTGTCTGCTTCCACATGGAGGCATCGCATAGGACTTGTTGTGGAGAGGCTATGTACTGATATGTCCCTTTTCGCATTGCTGCTAGTCAGCGGTGAGGGCTGAAAGCATGGTTACAAGCACACAGGCACCAACACAATAAACACATCACATAACATTTAGCAGATAGTGACTATATGCCTGCTTCCTAGATTACTAGTAAAAAAAATGCATTTCACTATATAGTTAATAAACTCTCTCCCTAAGAACAGAACCTCCGACCAAGGGGCCATGATTGTCACAATTTGGAAGAGGCACCCGTACGCATCATAACCATAGGCTTACATGTAGTTTGTCTGCAAAATACTAAGGACAAAGAAGATTTGATTGAAAAGAATTAATGCATTTTCACTATGAAATGAAAAAAAGGCAAACCCTAGCTGTGGTCTTGAAATTCATAAATTTTGGAAGAGGCACTATTGTATTTAGAATGATTGCTACATATATACATTATTCCAGGACAAGAGAAAAAAAAATTCAAAGAAAGAATATATTTTTACCATATATTCAATAGAGCCCTTCCCTAACACCGGAACCCATGGCTTGGGGGCATTAACACTTTTTGAAAAGGCATCCTTGCTCATAAAAACCAAGTGATTATCATGTCAGCAAAATACCAAAGGTCAGAGAAGAATATTTTTGAAAGAATAATACATATTTACTAAATCAAAAGAGCCCAATCCTAACACAAGAACCCCTTAACTCAAGGGCCATGAATTTAATACTTTTGGAAGAGGTACCATTGCATCTCATTTCCATGTGCTTATAGTATGTCTGCCAAATACCCATAGACAGTGTAAAAGATTTTTAAAGAAATAATGCGTTTTTCACTAAATAATCAATAAAAAGCTCTGTCCTTACCCCAAATCCCTGATACAGGGGCCATGAATTTTAAAAATTTGGAAGAGGCACACTTGCTCATCAAAACCATGCGCTTTTAAATATTTTTGTCAAATACTCAGGTGTGGAGATTTTCAAATAAATATATTAAATATATTTTTACAATACAATCAAAAGAACCCCTAACCGAGCGGCCATGAATAGCGTAGTTTTGAAAATGACACCCTTGCTCATCATTGCCATGTGCTTAATATGTCTGCCAATTAAATGTATATCCAGGGGCAGAGATTTTCAGAGAAATAATGTACTTTCGATATTTAGTCAGCATTGTCCCCTTCTAACACCAAGACCCCTGACCCATGGGTCAAGATATTCATAATTTTGAAAGATGCACCTTTACTCGTCATAAACTTGCATTCAGTTCCGTTGATTATTATTGCTGGGAAGAGAAGAAGCTATTTAAATAATTTATTCAAATTTAATTTACGTTCAATAAAGCCCTATCCTAATTCCAAAACCCCTGATCCAGGATGAATGAATTTCACTGTACGTTATGATTATGGCAACAGTTTGACTGATTCATGAAAATTAAATTAAAGTTGTTTGAAAATTTAGCCCCTCAGGTCCTTAGTGGCAGGGGCCATAAAAATTATCAAATTTTCCCTGTACTAAAATTGATTGACATTGATCCATGAGATGAAGCTGAAAAGATTTAAAAGTTTAAGGACGACGAAGGGCAAAACAGATTGCAATAAATAAAAGACTCAGATGACCTAATAAGGATCTATTTTAAAAACTATAGGTGTTTTGAAACTATGAATATTCGATCAAACGTTTTTTCTACATCACTAATATAAAAACCACGATGTTACAGGGTTTAAATCGTGGTTCAAATGAGGGAGGGGGTCATATAGACGTCTCATTGATTAAATGTCTGATCCACTCCTCCACACACAGAATGTTGATCTGTCTAGTATGGATCGAGGTAGGTTTTGCGATGAATAGATATGACCTTCAAGTAGAAATTTGACATCCATGTCCCATGTCAGCACTGATCTCATTTATTAATTTTCAATCTGAAATTGATTATAACATCAGATTGAAAACTATTTTACGATATCAAATGCATAAAATAAAATGCAGACAAGAGAAAACAGACACACATATTTACTATACACAGAGGAAACTTATTATGTAAACAGATATCTTTAACATACGGAAGTTAATATAAAAAAAAAGCAGAGGGATAGGAATAAAAATGCCACAATTTTCTTCCTTATACAGTATTTTCTCTTACGATGGAGATAGTCAACATTTTCTTTTTGTTCTTAGGAAAACTTACTTTATATATTAAAATACGAATTTAGTTGATAACTATCATGAAGATAAATGTCTATATTTTACAATCTGATTTTCCCCTACAGACATTATAAATACATTTAAAATGAATCATCAATTTCACCTTCAAACAGCGCCAAATTTAGCAATTTATTTGCACACTTTATTGTGTCTATAACACTGATACATACGACAGTAATTGTGCATTCAGGATAAATCTTGTCAAACAAAGAAGGAAAAGTGCCGAAGAGGAAGAATTTATATCATCTAAAGGAAATTCTCTTCTCAAAATGCACTACATACACAAACATTCACTTGCAAGGAAGTACTCATTCAAATTTCTTTTTAAATAAAACTTTAATCCAACTTTGTAGACGAAATAATTTTTGAAAATGCGTTCTTCTTCGAAGATTTTATCTTCTTGATGTCTTCTGGGCAGAAATATATCGACTTTGACTCGGAAGAATAACACAGAAGCAATGGCGTCTGAGAGGGGTCAAGGCCAGTGTCGACTGAGCTCAAAATAGACCCGGTCAAGGTCAAACACTTTAGATCTGGTCTTGCATGTAAAGAAACGACGACCCTGTCCTCCCCAGCAATAGTCAAATGTCGTGGTGAATAATCAAGTGTTAGCTCCCAGCTAAGGTCACCATTTTGTTTAATGGCCTTTATTTTTCTCTGATCTTTATCAATGACGAAAAGTGTTTCCCCAAAATAGCAGAAACTGTCAACACAATCCGATGTTTGATAAAACAGTTGTAGAGTATTCCCAGTCATGTCTATCCTTTTTATCGAACTTTGGGAGAATATTTTGCAAAGAATTATAAAACTTTGGTCACTGTAATGCATATCATGTACTTTCACCATATCAGTGTATTTAAAGTCAATGCATTTTTTAGCTTCTTCGTGTACTTTGCTCTTCTCCACTTTATAGAACCTTATACAGTGGCCACAAGAGACAGCAATTTCATCTTTGGATGTCCGTGTTAGACCTTCAAAATTTTCTGAGAATTCCTTCAAAGAGAGCAACTTTCCAGAAGCTCCATATAAAGCGATTTCTCCGCTCTTGGTCGTGATGATGATTTTTCCATCCCCCGTTTCCGTAATTCCTGAACAGATATAAGTGCAAGTATCATGATCGTCTTCCTTCCATTTTTCATTTAGAAAATGAACACATTCTTCCATATCTTGTTCCTCTTCCATTTCCACAAATGTTTGAATGCTCATGTCCGACGAGGTGGAAATTGATGAAAGGCGTTGCGCCGTTTTGTCTAACATGTTGATTTCTCCACTGGAAATAGATTGTCGTTTTTTCTCATCACTGAAATCCTCGAACACACAGAATGCTGTGTGGGACGAGTTCTTTGAGCCCTCGTCGAAAACAAGTTCAGCATATACAATTTCCATGCCTGTATCTTCAACAGCCTTAACACGTTTACATAGTACTCATAAAACTGTGACAAGGAAGAAAAGCTGTTTATATTTACACAAGTAAAATTATAAGATCCTGTAATGCATATCAGCCAGAGGAGAGGATCCTTTTGTGTGATATATGAACCATTAAATATAAGAGAGGCAGGTATAAATCAATTCAAGGTGAATTCCTTTAATTACTTGGTAAATATTCTACGTATAGTGCACAAGGTTCCGTTTCCTGTCAATGCATCGAAGTGAATCTGCTACCTTTTGGATCTTAATTTAGTGAGATGTATAAATAAGATCACTGACTCAATAAAAACAAAGGAATTGTCTGATTCTATAAACTCCTGGTTTTGCATAGATTACGTACAATTCATGCTCTAAGTTTGAATTTACCAGTCGGTAGTCAAAAACATGGGTGTACATGGCGGGCGAAATACATATATAGTGCGACAAACATTAAGTGAAATATAAAATGAATTTTACAATGTACAAAAATCTCACAAAGACTGAAAATATTTGCCTTTGACATTATATAACATACACACACTAAAGAGGACAAAATGATCATTTTCTAATACTTTATGAATTTTTCTTCGATATGAATGGGTCTTCGCTCAGTCTTTTTTTAAGTTAATCCTAATAGTTTACATAAAAATGTACTTTTTTGGTTTTACCAAAACATGGAGCAAAAGACCATCTATACCTTAAAAATCCACTTTTATGACAAAACATCTTTCCGAGAAATCTCCAGTAAGTCAAGGATCAATATCACAAACAGGATTTCAAATGACATAATTAACAGGAGCTGTGCAGTATAGTGGTTAGCAAGTTGGCATTTAAGTAATACGATGCTTTGGATTTTTATTGCTAGGGTTCGAACCTCACGAAAAGCAAATATTTTTAAATAAAAGAATAATTTTCCCCCTGATTTTTTTCTCATAAAAGTTTTCATTATGATAATTTCAAGAATGAGAACTATACTTAAAATATTTAATTCACAAAATGAACTAGAACTGTCCAAACGGGACAGAATACCCCCCGCTGGGTTTATCAGAAGTAAGTTTTTCCATAAGAAAGATATGGACCGGACACGAATTATGAAATTTTTCTTCCAGTGACCTTGAACTATTTTTAAATGACACACCCTTGGGTCATGAATCTTTGTGTGAAATTTTTATCCATAGGAAAGATATGGACTGGACACGAATTATAAATTTTTTCTTCCAATGACCTTGAACTTCCCAAAATGACCTTGGGTCAAGGTCATGACACACCCCTCAGTCATGGGCAATCTTTGTGTGAAATAATTTTTATTCATAACAAAGATATGGACCGGACACGAATAATAAATTTTTCTTACCTTGAAATACCTTGGGTACACCCTTCGGTAATGGGCAATCTTTGTGTGAAATGAGAACCTACCAAGTTTATTCATAAAAAAGATATGGACAAAATTATGAATTTTTTCTTCCAGTGACCTTGAACTTCCCCAAATGACCTTAGGTCAAGGTCATGACACACCTTTTTTCTTTGTGTGGAGTAGTAGATTCTAATGTCCCTCTGAAAGAAAGATATGGACCGGACACAATTGCAAAGATAGACGGACAGACAGACAGACGGACAAGGTGTTTCCTATATACCCCCCAAACTTCGTTTGCGGGGGGTTTAATGATTTTTTTTAATATCAGAAGCTAGGGGCACTCTGCACGTCTTGTTTACCCATCTTCTTTTTATTAAAAATAATTTGTTCATTTGACCCTTGTAAAGCATCTGATGAATTAATTTCATCTAGTTCACCCCTGACCACAGACGCTGGGCGTTGCCAAAGCACATGTACCTTGCATACCCGAAGAACTCAGGAACAAGCCCCTCCCCATTTCTTCTGAGTAGTCTTTTGCTGAAGTTTTAATATGCAAATACTATTTAAATGCTGGGTGCTCACCACTCTTCCAAAGTTTTTGTTGTTCTAATACTGTAAAATTCAAGCATTTGATAAAATTAGCGGAAGGTCCAACCCACCCTTTTCCTCCCCATGAAATACAATTTTCAAATTCGTTTGCATTTGGACATATTGGGGGGGAGCTTGCCCCTCCTTTCATTAACCGTTGCTATGGGCCTGTCCTGAACACTCCTTGCACCAACTCTTGTCATTTCTCTCTTAGTATAAATATTGGCATGATGAGGCACTGCTATTAAATATGGCCTGAATCATACACATGTAAATGAAAATGGAAATGACATGTTTAATACTAACAATTTGATGCTTTGATTTAATATTATCAATTTAAACTTCCTGAAGAGAACAAAAATATATAAATGCTGTCTTATTGGGAATTTTTCCAAGATATATTTTCTCATTTATTATGATAATGTATAAATAAATTGGAGTCTGCACTATCTGGTGTTTTTTGTTTGATAATACAACTTGTATTTTTTCTCCTTAGAAAGATGTTTCAATAAATCTCCGATACCCTTTAGCGATACCGCCCTACTATTCATTGTACTACCCTTGGATCACTTGAAAGTGCATGCATTCTTTGATTAGAAATGCAAGTTAAGACTTTGGCTAAGGTGAGTTAAAATTATTTTTTAATCCATCTGGCATGAAGAATATATATGATTATCTCCATGAAAATCATTTTCCTGTGTAAAATATGAGAAAACAAAAACAAAACTAAACAGAATTTTCAATTTTATACAACATTTTTTAAAAATGACATGTATACACTCTGATTTCTTGCACAAAGAAAAGCAACTCCTATTGATTTTACAAATCTCCATGAACTGAAGAAATGCAGATCTAAAAGTCACATGGATGTATATGAAAAATGTACATTCTGCAAAAGATTTCACTTTTCTATGAAAACACAAGGTGATTGACTGTTCACAAATAAAAAAATGAAATTGTCTTGGTTCCATGATTATGAAGCCTCTCACACTTTCTTTTACCATTAGTATCTCACATCCACTGAAGCACACATTCTGTTTTCTCTCACTCCTGCTGCGAACCTCCTGCCAGAGCACCAGTTTATCGTCTCCCCCGGCCCCTGCCTCTCCCCCCACGTCCTCCTCGTCCTCTCCCCCTACCACCACGACCGCCCCGCATACCTGAAATATACATATAAGAATTAAAAAACTGTTACACTGTTAAAACAAGGAATATCCTCATTTTGTACTAGTACATGTACTTGTCTGCAATAGACAGGAACAAAATTTTTAGTATGATTAACAAAGGATCACTTCATTATAAATAGGGATTTGACCTATAGGACCGGGCTTGGTTTTATTCTCTACAAAAAGCTTGTCGATTTCCGTTCTGATTAATGACATTAGGCTGAATACATATAACAATTTGTTTTTCCTACATCTTTATTTCAATGAGCATTCTTGATATAAGAAACACTAAAGAGATATCAAATCGTAACAATCCAATGTAAAATGTAATAATTGATGTTTGTCTTTACTTCTCATTGTGCATAAAGGTAATGTCTATTGTCTCTGAAATTCTATTCTTTATGTCTAGGCTATTTATCCGTGGATATAATAAAAACTTGTCATTAATGTGTGCAAATTATAAAGGCCTAAATGAAATCATGCATTTACTGAAATATGTAGCCAAAATCAATGTGATTAAATTCTAAGGAATATATACAGTTGAAATTCCTCGCAGCTCAATGCTACCAAGAATACCCGTATTGAGTAACACACAGCGAGTTATTCTTGTCCTTGGAGAAAGTGTGCTTATTCTGAGGTTTGTTCCGCGTGATTGACAACTTTACATTGGATTGTTACGATTTGATATCACTTTAGTGTTTTTTATATCAAGAATACATGCATAAGGGATAGAAAATTGTATAAAAAGTGTATAAAAAATTAAAATAGTCTTTGAAAAGGCGAAATTAAAACTTTATAAGTGTTGTACCACGTGGATTCGAACCCCCGACTTTAAAAAAAGAAAGTGTCCAAGGTATAAAAGTCAGAGCGTATACCAACTGAGCTAGTCTGTCTATAAGAAGAAAAGGCATAAATTTAAAGCAGATTATGAAAATCTGGTTTCCTTATTTTTTGTAGGTTTTTTGTTAATTTCGACCCCAGGGCAGGGGTGCCCCTAAAAAAATCTTATCTTAAATTATTCCTTACATCCTAACCTATCAAAATATCACAATTTTATTTAGGGGCAGGCCTGCCCTGATGGACTTCAAGGCCAAAATTCATGCAAAAATCAACGCTTTAAAGGACAAAATGGTGCTTAGATCAACATTGGAGCTTTTTTGTAAAGTTGTAAATAATAAATTTTAGGTATAAAATACAAATTTTTAAAAATTTAGACATATATACGGTAGAAAACAACAAATAAAGATTGATTTTTAAATGTCACTTTTTCCGGGAAATTGTTCTCTCCTATAGGTCAATTCTTTTGTTAAAGCGAATACATCCTTTAAGAGTCATAAAACTCATAAAAACAACTGCAATACATGTATATTTTCATCATGTGAACATTTCTATGATAAATTCTCATAGGTTGCATGACATATTTTAATACATATAAATCATAACAAATAGGGATGTGCGATTTTATCGGTATATCGCTATTTTGTATTGTGCGATACGTATCGTGATACAGAGACTTAAATACCGGTATTTAGGTACATATTATAAAGTCAAGAAATCATTCATTTATTTGTTCAATCTTTCAAATTATAATTACAGAAAGACTTAAAAAAGTCGTAAAAGGTGAAAAGTATGGCATCTTACCATCCAAACATTAGTTTTATGTACATAAAAATTTCGAAAAGTGAAATTTTGTTTTTCCAGCATATTTTTAAGAAAAATAATGAATATTCATTTAAATTCATTGTAAAAATTGCTTGTAAAAATATCATGATATTATTGTAATATTTTGGGAAAAAATTGTGATATATTGTGATACGAAATTTTTGGCGATACCCATCCATAATAACAAATTATTTTCTACATTTTTTTATTTGTATATGCATCACATGAACTGAATTTCTTGTTTCTTATATTTGGACTGCTTTTCTTAAAATTCGAACTTATTTTTTTTCTCTATATATTCTAATTTGGGGAGGGTTTTAGGCTTTCTTTTCAGAGTTTAACATATGTACATTATATTATTTATCCCTACTTTAAATGCATTATTTTCAGTTTTTCTGCTCAATTTGAAAAACAAGTGTCATCATGGCCCTTGGAAACTTATAAACTATTTGTATTCAGATAGAATTTTTGAAGTTCTAAAACTATCCTGCTTTTGCTTTCATTTTTTATATTGTCTGTGCTTCCTTACATTAAAATCTGATGCTAAGAGAATTCAAACATTCAACAGTTAAAAATGAATTGTATCTTTTTTTTAATTTACAAATTTTACCAATTCTGCCATTTGGGTCTCTATGAGTATGTCTTTCAAATGGCAACATCTGAAAGTTGAGCTTTCTTCAACCTTTTACATGTATTATCCTACTCAGCCTTTCTGAAAAAACCAAACTGAAAAAAGCTTACCACCATCTCTTCCTTTCTTCATCTTTGCCTTTGGAGTGTCATCAATTAGTAATGTATCTAACGGTAAGCTGTCTGGTAGAATGTAATATCGAATGTTGTTACCACGTATGCTGAGCGTGTCGACTTGTACTGGATCTTTGTTCTTGATGGTCATTTTAACTGCCTTCAGGTGGGTGTTCATACAAACATCAACACCTACACATATAAATATAAAAAATAAAATTTCTAATTTTTTATATAAGGAGCATGCAAAAATTGTACTACAGCATTTTTTTACAGCCATGTGCACAAGAAAAACACATCAAAAGCATTTTAAAGAAACATTCAACAGTACCCAAAGGCTTAGTTTTAGGACGATTTTCTTATTGTCTTCATAATTGTGTTTTCTTTCATGACTGTCTGAACATAATTCATATCATTAAATTTGAGGGGAAAAAGTATCAGTTTTTAAACCAGACATACTCGGCACGGAGCTTACTAAATGATACCCTGCACTGCCCGGTGGAAAAGGAGAATTTGCAGATATGAGATTGTATCTCCAATGTTACAGAAAGAATGGCTATGTTGATGTTCTGCAATGGAAAACCCCAAAAATCTGTCTAATCATGAAAAATAAGTGCGCACTACATATGAGTGAAAGATTCTTATTTTTCAAAGTCTTGTTGAATTTTATTCAGTGGTACAGTTTAGGAGTTGCTGCCCATGTTATAGAAAGAATGGCAGTGTCCATGTTTTGTCATGGGAAAGTGAATAGCCGTCTGATCAAACAATAATGGGGCTATGAAATATTCTGTTGAGCTCTCAGTAAATTTAATTCAGCCATATAGGAGTTGCAGATATGAAAGGGGTCTATAATGTTTGATTTAACCTCCCCATTATTCTAGCACTCGGGGATAAGGGACCCCCAAGTGATATTCTGTACAGGTCAGCTTATTTTTAACAGACTGGGAACTTCCATTTTTTCTATAGGTGATACACAACATATTCAGATATAGAACAAATTCACATTAAAACCAAATGCATCATCTTGAGAACAACCCCAGGTCCCTCTGAAAAAATCCTTATCTTTACATATATACTGTAGTTTAACAAAAATATGTATTGAGTTTCACAGTGCTAAAGTGCTACATTATGTTAACTAAACCCTGGACTCTTACCTGTGACTGTTCCATGCACTTGTGTACCATTCTTGAGCTCAATCGTTACTGTCTCATGGCTCAATTTCATCAAAAATCTGTAAATAAGTTTGAAATTCTATTAACAGCTTCAATGTCATCCCAGTCACAATCAGTTCATCATAACTTTACTTTACATAACCTTGTGTGTTCATTTTCTTCAAGCCAAACATTTGGTAAAAACATGCAGGGATCGACACAAACCACATGCTAACGGTTGTCCGATTGCCCGGGACAAGAGGGATTTTCCACTACCCCATGTAGAGCCGATTATGGGCCCCAATCCCAATTGCAAATTCCTTCCATTTTTCCCAAAAATGAACACCAGGTGTTCAATTTTTGAATGCACAAAAACTCCACAAAGGTAACTTGATTAAAATTCAAGTAAAACAAACATGGTCAGGTTTGAAATCTGAATGAAAAAAATTGAGGAAATTTGACTAAAACTTCATAATAAATAAATAATTGATCTATTCTCTGAATTATAGTTCTGAATAATGAAGTAAAAGTCAATTTTATTCATTATAGTTTTATTTCTTGAAAATATCATGCAAAAAAAATTCCCCAAAAGTGATAAAATGTCTTTAAATTCCCAGTTGTAAGGGCCTGGGCCTCATTCCCAAAATGGTGTGGAAAATCCCTGGACAAGTAAATTCTCAATTCAGGCAAGTGAAACCATCAATGTACTTGTCCGATCAGGCAAGTGGACATTTCTCATAGAAACACTCTTTTAATTCTTACATTAGTTTATATAAAGCAAAACAATAAATAGAACACTTGATTTCTGCTCAGAACTGGACATTGTTTTTGCATTTGGAATCCCTTAGTAGCGTTTCTGGATTATACCTTCGTTCAGAAATCGGTTTCCGAATTGTTATTCTGTTTTTTCCCTTAGTTTACAAAAATACACTCTCCGTCTGACAATTTATGTTACATTCTTATTATAGGAATAGGTTATTTATTCACTTACAGAACATAAAGAACACCAATTATTCTCGGTGCACGTATCTTGATTCAAAACATGACAACTGTTTTCCTTTTAGCACGCCTCAATTTTTTAGGGGGAAAAAATTGTAGGAAAATAATATTCCTGCATTGCTGTGTGTGTTTTCAGGATAATAATGACAGGACAATGGTTAACATATATTTAAGAATTGTAGCATTACCGCCATATCAACATTTTCCCTGGCAGTTAAGTTCAAAATAGATATTAATTTGTTACCAGGGCTGTCACAGCACCTTTTGGTACAGGGACCGGGTCCCTCTATATTGGGAAAAATCCTCGACATTTTTGTCAAATTGGGAAAATTCTAAACATACTTTCAGTTATTAAATCAACACCTCCCCCCAAGCAAAATATTAAATCATAAAAGCCATTTAACTCTTTGAAAAGTATACTTGAATTTTTTTGAAAAGCTAAAATTTGCAGGACATAAGGTCTGATAAAATCTATATTTAACAGACCAAACATTTACTTACTAAGCAGGCATTTTTTTTTTTTTTTCTTATGATACAGAGACAGGGATCACTTTGGGCTGCGCCTTTGCGCCATTGGCGCTCAATATTTGTAAATGGCGCACTAAAAAATTAGAAAGGGGTCAGTCTGGCGCATGTCTTACAAATATGGCGCTATAAGATGCAAAACTGTGGGTCAAAACTCTTATCTTGGTGCACTTTAGGACCGTTTTTAAGCTGACCGATTGTATTCATAACGTATCTGAGCATATACTGTTACTTCGTTCAATCAGACTCTTTGTAGTCGCGTATGTTCTTTACACCAGCAGAGCGTCTGGTCGATCAAGACTAAAATCGGAGTTGTACATGGAATATTTCCTTCGTTTAGATTACGCTACTAGCATTTTTTTTACCGAATACTGAGTCAATTATATTTATTAAAATGATATGTAATGATTTAAATAATAAACATATGAAAGTAATACTCCAGTGCGTAATATGTCCTAATAATATTTCTTAAAACTTTGATTATTTATTTCGAAACAAAACAAGTACAAGTTACTCATTGTGTATCCAGACACTTGCCCGAAATGCCTCCAAAGCGAAGATCGGTATTGGGCCCAACTGACCCAAAACAACGAAAGCTTTCGTTTGTTTTACAAATAAAACGACGGAAACTTTTTAATTCCCAGACTCGGCAGAGGTCTCTGATTAAGAAGAACAGTCCAAGACGCTGACTCCTGATGTCAACGTCAACGATGGTCGTCATTTCCAGTCCAAGTGGCTAACTTTGCATCCGTGGTTGGAATTAGATCAGATGGGACTAAAATGTTTTGCAAACGAATAAAAATTTTCTCATTTAAGTTTTTTGCGTATTTTGCTCCGAGTTTTTTGCATACAAAACCAGTCCCTATCATTTGAACCACCTGACCAAGGTAAATTCAGTAAAGAAATGTGCATGTAAGTTTGCATCCTTTATAGTTTAGCTCTTCAACAACCTTCGAGAACTAAATCGATAAAATCCAAGGGGCGAGGAATTAACTCCCCAATATGATATTTTTTCAGTACTGAGATGAAATTAAAATAAAATCTTTTATATTTATAATATTATTGATTTTATTTAAAAAAAAATTAAATTGGTTGTGTCAGAAATGGCATTTAAAAACCCTCAAAGGCCCATCATATTTACTTGAAATTCATCACAAAATAGCATGGAAAATCAATTTTTCCCGGGGGGCTTCACCCCCCTGGACCCCCTACCGTTTCCCCTCCCCAATGGGGGCCTAAGCCCCCATACCCCCGGCGTATGGCCCATGGATTTTAATGGTGATGGGCCAATGGCCCATCAACATTAAAATCCAGAGTGATCCCTGCAGAGACTGAAAAATGTGGGGAGGGGGATATTTCTTACTGTTTAATTGCATTTTAAATAAATAAAAAAATTCAGATTATAGAGAATAATTTATTGAAATTATCAAGTTAATATTACAAATTTTCCTTTTAAATGTAATATCATAAAGTTGCCTAGATCTACAATTTATTTCTTTTTTCTGGTCATTTAACACATGCAAATGAAACAGATAGTATCCAAGATTTATTTTAACTTATAATTCACTTTAAAATTGTTTATTTATTTTATGGACCAACTCATAATGGTTATCCTTGTTTAATAATGAAAATAAATTCCCCAACCCAATCTACGTATGACCTATCCATAAATCTCTATTCCATGACAGAGGAAATTCGAATTAAAAATAAACGATCATGATAGGGTTGTTGCAGATTAAAATTTATCATGCATTACTGCTAAATGGATCAAATTAAGGTTGTATATGTGGAAAATTAGGTGATATAATCGAGAAAACACGTTTTTGGTAATTTTTAAGTCTGAAATTGGGAAAATCTAGCACTTTGTGCCATTGGGAATGGGTCTAGTGACGGCCCTGGTTACTCTTTAATATTTACAAAAAATTTAGATACAGCTACTGAGTTTTCTTCTTTAGAAATTTTGGACAACCAAGTTTTACCTTCGGACAAGTCAAAATTGTAGTTCACTTGCCCAAAGGAGAAGTGAATATAAAGGTTAATGTTTATCCCTAATATGAGAGAATTGTTAACAGATCAACTGAACATAATCATGCCATTTTTGTCCTTTCATCATAAGTAATGCTATTTTGAAGGGCAAATTGATAAGTAAACATTCTGTGAAATTTAAGTTAGTAGATTTGATAATTCAATGCATTCTCTTAAAACATTCAATTTTAAGTCACAATATTATATTTCAAAGAAACTATATATCAAGTTAATATATTTTCTTCAAAAGAGCATTTCCGCAGTTATATATATCCTGAAACAGTCAGCCACAGTCTATATCAAGCTCTTCCATTTTCATCACCTAACGGTTTATGAAATACTACTCTAGTGAACATTAAAGCTTTCCAATAATGATTAAACATAAATAACTTGCACAGATGATGCATATTCTTAGAGAATCACTGTATAGTTAGTAAAGTATGCCAGGGCATTAACGATAGCTGGAAACGTTGGTTAATTTGCCCACTTTCCAACTATCGTTGATGTCCCTTTTCGGATTAGACCTTAAAAACCAAGACTCCGTGTGGACCGTGTCACAGTAAATGTTGGCAGGATTACGTATCCAGACTGCCCAATGAATAAGCCCATCACTGGTTTTATATTATAGGATTTCTCTAAATGGGTGAAAAATCTCGTATCAGGAAAAATCAACATACAATGAACAAGTCCATTAATGGCATCATGCACTGAATCAATCCATTTTTCATCAAAACCTTGCTTGGCAATCTCCCTAAGAGTATCGTAGATCTTTATCTCAAGCAAGAAGAAAAATATGCCACAGTAAAGATGACCATAATCGAGGGTTTTTCGCATATAGTGACCAAATGTAGTAGTCCATTCCAGTGTCAGACCAGTTTTCTTTTTAAAATTCACTGCAATTGTGCATTCTAAACAGGCGTTCAGTTTTCACACATAAACATAATCAAGCTTAATCATGTTTACTAATTAATTGGAAAAAATCCTTATGTCCACTGTTACTCTGAAACTTGGAAAAATATCCAAGAACGCTATTGTTTACATTTTTGCCGGCAAAATATATGCACAAACACCCAAATAAAACATTATAACGACAATTAATACGCATTGTCAATGATGCAAAAATAATAAATAATCTACATATCAACAATTTGTGTTAAACAATACCTTATAAGTTTCATGATTAATGTGGATTGTTTGATCCACTAAACAAAAATTCAGGGATGGCGGTTTCGTTCTGCGAACGCTTCTTCAATGTTAACGAGACGCTTTAAAACTTGGTTAAACTAAAAGACGGAAAATTGACTATGATGGGTAATTGCACCATTTTTTATGGGTTTTTTTTCCACAACCACTTTTTTTACTCCGAAAATTTTGCAAAATCTCCCTATTTAAATAAAAATACAATCCCAATGGCATCGAGATATGTTTACCTGTTATTCTATGCAATGTACAGTGTACTATTATATTTCAAAAGAGAGACAACTCTTTAAAGCTTGAGGTGTTTGATCAAATTCACCTTATTTTGCGTAATTAAAAAAAAAACAAACAAACAAACAAACAAATAATAAAAAATATATGTTATATTTTTTTTTGGCAATTTTCTACAAAAGACTTCTTAGAGGATTTTTTTTTTTTATAATGATAGATACAACCGCGAAAAAAAATTCTTTATATATGTACCTCATTTATAAAGTTAGGGTTGCTTCAAGACTAAGATTTTTTTTAATGTGCATAAACCGTTTATTAAACACAGCAAGTTAGAAAACATAATTAAATACGTATATTTTTCTTTGTAAGCTAGAAATCGGGGGGGGGGGGGTTGGTTATATTTTTATTTATACATTGTACATGTAATAATGTCGCACTAACGTTATTTTCATTAAGCGCATTAGGGCAAATGTAAGCAAAAAAAAAAGGAGTACAGTGTAACTGCAGAACTGTAGCTCTCTACTTGAGAAAATTCGAATTTTCTCAAGCAAAGAGCTACAGTTCTACAGCTAATGTTTGAGATATCGGTGGAATAGCGCTTGAAGGAAAGAGCGCTCACTGGTTTTACAATAAACTAAACATGTATAAATGTCTACATGGATGCCCCGAAGAGTGTATATTAGTAACGCAAAATGAACATTTATATTACTGTATGGGAAAAATCATGAATAATTTCTTTAAAATTGAAGTCTAAAAGAGGGATAAAGGTGATAAATTCTCACCAAATTAATATGTACATGTATTAAGTTTATAACCTTACATGCTAATATCGATCTTAAATGGTTTCTTTAAATCTAAGCAAAATGTAAATTAAAGACAATTGAGGTCAAGTTCACAGAAAAGTGCAAGGTCAAAACTTTTTGATACAGTTGAAGAGCACCCACTTATATATGTATCAGCATACTAAGTTTGATAAAATATCTCGAACTCTTTCTGTAAAAATTTAACCAAACACTAAATAAGAAAAGTGAGGTCAAGGTCAAAGGAAAGGTAAAATGTTGATGCAGTGGAATTTTTTTTTATTTGGTATGTATTAGTACTGTACATAAAGTTTGATAAAAATAGCATTTAATGGTTTCTTTAAAACTTAGCTAAACACTAGTTTAAGAAAATTGAGAGTAAGGTAGTGGAAATGTCAGGAGCCAAAGAGGCATGTGCATGTAACTTTCGTGCGTCTGTCTGTGTCTGACGGTAAGAAGGCATAATATGCACGTGCTAGTACATGTAAATCTCGTGCGGCTGCCTTTGTTTGACGTCATTGGCGGGGACTATTGAAATTGACATGAGAGGCTTCGTGTAATATAAATCTATTGGTCTACATTTTTAGAATCCAAATTTACAATTTTATTTCACAATGAAATAGAAATACATGTATAAGAAATCACTGTCTAATTAGTAGAGTATGCCAGAGACATCAACGATACCAGTAATTGGAAACATTGGATAATTTATGTCCATTATGCAAATTATCCTACGTTTCCAGCTATCGTTGAGGCTCGGGTATATATGTGCCCAACAAACTAGACAGTGATTCCTTAAATCATTAATAAGTCCTGAACTTTTGACGTTTATATAGATTGTGACATACATGTGCATAACCTTTGTCTTTGAGTTGCCATACACAGGCATTAAATTGATCAGCGTTCAGAAACACATCTTGTTCTTCATGCATATACTAGTATTTTATTTACTTACCTAATTATAATTCAAGGACCAAATTGGCCGCCATAAGCTATCAGTACTCCTTCTGTATGTCACGTAACTTATAGAGAAATATATGTATGTCTGTTTTTTTGTTTTTGATCTATTTAAATGATTTATAATTACGACATTCTGTGATATTTTTACCTGAATAAAACAAAAATGTCTGGTGATAAGCAGTCTTCTTAATGAATAGCAACAGCATTTACCCATGGCAGGTTAAAAAAACAACAACGTATATTTAGGCACTTCAGTGTATTTTGAAAAGTACCCCGGTACTTCAAAGATCCAAGAGTACCCAGCTACATTTATTTTACTAAAATCCTTTATGGAACCGATATATGATCAAAAAAATCAAATCCCCATGCACTTCTAACAGTTCTCAAAATACAATGTATATGACAGATGGACAGACAGAAACAATACACTCAAAGACAATCAAGACCTTTTTACAGTATTTAATTTCTGCTTTAGATTAACAGACATGTTTTTTAAACAAATAACCAAAATGGAACAGAATAAAAGAGCTGCGACCTTCGTCATTTTAATTTTTTTTTTTAGAAAATATGAAAACCTCAAATTACATGTATGTCAACCTTAAATATATTTTTATTGTAATTTTTATCATAATTATACATGTAAGGATTGTTTACTTATTGAAGCCTATAAATAACAAAAATAACAGGCCTACATTGTTAGCATGTTAAGTTTCACTGTTTGGAACCACACTCAGATTCTTTTTTTATTGTTCTTTTGCGCGGACCAAACTAAACGAAAAAATCTTCAAAATTAAAAGAAAAGCCATCAAATTTTGAATTGAAATAAAAATTATAATAAGAATCATTTATTGAACTAGAAAGAATTTTATAATGAAACTTTTCATTTTCCTCTTAGTTTAACTTATCATTATACAAATAATGGACATTTTGTACACGTATTTTATTCACTTGAAAGCAAATCTTCACATTTTGTTTCCCTCTCAATAATGTAGACTTGGATGAACTTTCATATCAGAAACACTCAGAGCAAGTCTATTTCAGGAACTCCAATTGCACCGACTATCTTGGAATGTACCTTTCTGGTCCGGGCTGACCATCGAATGAGATCAAACTGTTAGTTTTTTACTGGTCACGTGACAAAGAAATATAAAATAAGAAGTCCAACGGTAATTGTCATTGTGTTAGCAACGTAACTTGAAGAAGTTGAGGAACTTTCATCATTGATTTGTTTAGAATGGTAAGCTGTAAAAATTAAATAAACTAAATTTAAGAATCAAAATTCAAATTCAAATATTCACTGCAAGAAAAATTGAAAATGCTCTCAAGTTTTTTTTTTTTTTTTTTTTTTTTTGAGTCTTTAAATATTTGAGGTAAAAGTTACCACTCAAATCATATATATTACAAAAATCTAAGTTATCAATGCAGGAAAAAATAAAGAATGATGTATACACTCTTTTATGAAATAAAGTATTTTTGTAATCTTACCACACCACTTTTCATCTGAGTCGTCATAACAGTCACTGATTCTGTCACAAACACGTGACATTGGCAAGCAATCATATTTGTTCCCGCCACATTTAAAATTTCCCGCGCATGGATCATTTGTGGATGAATCTAAGAGAAATTAAATCTGGCATTTTATTTGAATATAGATTGCTCAGAATTTATAAGATATGAGTGAATCAAGTGAAAAGACAGAAGAAAATGATTTAATACTCTTATAATTGCATAACTTTTATAGGAAGGCTACACCAAGTATATTTAAAATGTAAAACGGAGGTGAATTAAACGAACATCACTATAATATCACCAATCAAATATATAATGACTTGTTACCTGAAAGTTTCCACCTTATTCCTAGTTTCCATATTTCTGAAGCATAGAAAATACTCAGATTAAATTTTAAGCAAGACATAAAAAAGAACATAAGAATATACTAGACTGTTGCATTATTTTATTTTAAAAGAATGAAAAGGCTAAAATCATCGTCGCAAACCACGATCAAAATGTACGATCCTCTCCCACTCTGTAAGAGAGAGCTATATGCGGACTCCGAACCGTGGCTTGAGACGATGGGCTAAAATAACATTTTCAGCAAATAAATTTAAAAGATTTAATATATTTTACCTTCGTATTGACACATTTTGTCAGGACTTTCGTCTGAATTATCTCCACAGTGATCAACAGAGTCACATCTCAGGGACTTATCGATACACCACAGATTCTTACACAAATAGTCACCACGTCTAGGACACCCGGCTACAATTTGATTAAAAAACATACAATATGAAAAAAAATTGTGAACTCACTCGAGAAGGGATGTGAGATTTTATCGGTCATATCATGATTTTTTGTTGCGTGATATGTATTGTGATACGGAGATCTAAATACTGGTCTTTAGGTAACAAAATCCAGAAATTATTCATTTATTTGTTCAATCTTTCAAATTACAATTACAGAAAGTGTAAAAAATGTTGTAAAAAGTGAAAAGAACTCGATTTTATATACTTTTCTAAAATGTTGTGTTTTAGAAAAATAAAGACTTTTCATATAAAATCATTGTAAATACTGCTTTTGAAAAAGGTTACATTTTTCACAAATTTTTGGCGAATCCTGCACATATCACTCACTTTCTTTGTGTTTCTGTAAAAACACATTTGCTGTAAAAACACATTTAATCTTCATAGTAAGGAACAATAAAACTAGAATTATTAAGCCTTAAGAAATTAAAAAAAAAATCTGTGATACATCTCTATATCAATTTTATTTGTTATTGAAATAAATTTAAACAACATACCCTCTGTTATATTATCCACAGCTGTATAAATGAAGTTCAGTTGGTCTTCGGCTGACAATGCCCCCCGCAGTCTTATGTACACACTGGAACCTGGACTGAACCAATGACCAATGGTCATATTCGTGGCGGAATATCTGCCCAGTAATTCACCCCTAGATGTTGTGCCACTTATAATCTCTAAACTATTGCCAGGATACTCTGCCCATCCTTAATGTTATAAAACAAATTGAAATTGGTTCAGAAATGCTTAATTAGAAACGCAAATTAGAAATTAGAAACAAGTTAAAGTGAATGCAATTTGTTTGATAATGAAATACATGTGAATTGAATGAATTCAAATTCAGAAAAATTACCTTGACCAAATACGATTTCCGTTAATCTTAAAAGGATGCCATCTGGATTTTTCTTGGCTGGTTTTCTGATGATCCAGATGCAGTCAAACATGCCGGGTAAACGTGGGGTCAGGTAATCCAGATTAATAACACCTCCCGATTTATATTCCATAATTTTGCTACAATCTGACAGAAAGTTTTCAGTTCATTAGTTTGTGTATTGCTCAAAATAATGTTCAGAAATGAAAATTTGCTATCCATAACATGAACTTTTTCGGACCAGAAAGGTAACCATTCCCTGATTCTTTAATATGCACTTTACATTTAAATCAAGTAAAGTAATAGGGAGAAGGATTGAGGTAGTAGAAATAAGCTTTAGAATTAAAAAAATTAAAATATGACAAGACGTTTGTCTTATTGAAAATTTAAAATATTCCACATTTTCGGGGGTAGAGAACCTTAATTGCATTCAAATTTTGTCTTTTTACTTTCACGTACTTGTACTTGGCATCGTGTTCCATTGACTACTGGAAACAAACTGATAGCTAGCCTTCCACCCCACTGGGTGGCAGCACCGATGACTGGAACTTCCGGTGTTAAAAACGAGGATAATTGTGCTCGATTTGGAAACCAGCACCGGTCGCTCATGCCGGGTATAAACCTTTGATGGTGAAGTTGTGCGTGGACCATCATAAACCTAAACAAAAAGAAAATCAGCAGTTTTTAGAAATTATTTCAGGTGTAAAATTACTAAAATATTCGAATCCAACCTTAAGGGACAAGGTGCGATATAACAAAAAGATGTCTTCTTTTTAAGCTTTTGGCTGCCATCTAATGTTATCCTTAGATACGATTATTACAGGGATTATGAATGAAATTCTCCGTAATTATGGAAGTTTATTGCAATTTCGTGACATACATTGCTTACACTGTAGATACCCAGGAAAATTTATTGTTGGTGGATATAAACTTAATGTCTAAAGGCGAAGTTGTTTCATTGAATATTCTAGTAAGTAAAATGTGACACAAATACATAAAACTGTGGAAGATTCAAGTCGGAATTTAAAAGCCATAAAATATATGCGTTGTTTTAATATAAAGGAACATTTATATTTTAACTATGTACAGTGCGACTTTTCTATAGGAATTGCAGATAATTCTGCATAAATATCATAAAAAATTAAATCTCCTACAGATAAATGAAATGGCTTGGAGGATTTGAAATTATTTCCACTTTTGATGAATTTTACACTCAATTATGCAATCTCTCAAAGGAAAAAAATAATCACATGAATTTCAAAGACACTTCTTAATATCGTCAAAAGCAGAATATTATCAGCTTTGGATGTGACAGTGAAGATTAGAGTACACGGTCCTAATAATCCATTCCTACCAATTAACCATAGTCAGCACAACTCTTGTTGAAGCTAACCTCCTGCTGGCACGTGCATTAACCCAGATTACCTGTCATTTAGTGTATTACCAAAGTACCTTTATAACTGACGTCTGCAAACTGCGGTACAAGGAGCGGGTTGGCTTTGATGGTGTTTCCACCTTGCGGCAGAATCTGGTCAATTGCATGCTACCTCCTACCTTTTTCTTTGACTGCTACATCCGGCATTCAAGTGTAATTTTTAGAACACAGCATTAAATGGCGAACATACCTGTAATGTACTGACGGACGCCAAATCCCAATCATCAAATATCATCCGGATTCTGCCATACGGGTCCAGGTTGGTTATTATATATGTAAACGTTTCGCCGTTGAGGGCATATCGGTCTGGAAAGTTTGGGGATGATATTTCTCCCTTGTCACCACCAAACATCGTGGAGGAAACCGTTCCCCTGATTTGTTCGACTTTTTCTGTATAATGTATCAAATTTCATAAATTAGGGATAGTCTGGTTAAATTTTCCACGGAAAAGTTACAACCAATTTGAAATTCATTTTAAAAAAATCAGATTCATTATATAACCTCTTTTAAACTTATTACACTATCTCAAAAACAATGTGCATAACTATATTTTGTGCGTAACAGTCCAATAAATCTAAGAACTAAATAAAACTTATTGTTTATTACAAGTACGATAAATTGGAAACAGGAATTTCAAAACGTATCTCCTTCTGAGCAAAACAGTTTCTAGTTAAGCCGATATATTAATTGATACACTACAGTACTGCATTTAAAACAAAATACTAGTAACTGCAAAAACATTTCGTCTACGTACCAGTTACCTCGTATTTGACCCGGAAGCGTTTGCCGGTTATTCCGGTTCCGTTGGAGATACAGTGACGTATTTTGACGTTGGAGGATATAGAAATGTACTTAGCCTCGTTTTCGTCGCTATGGTAATTCTGCAGATTGTTTGTGTGATAAGGCTGATCAACTTCATGGATCTGAAGATGGTCACAGCTGAAAAAAAAACCGACTAAGAGATACAAGTGTGTGGAACGAACATTGGTAATACATGTATACATTATAACTATACATGTAAGACGTCACTTCGAAGTCAATTAATTTGCCAATTTGCGACTTTCAGATTCGACGTGAGCTACATGTAATTTAATCTTCGATAGGAAACTCTGGAAATTTCATTATATTTATTCGATATATTGATAATTGTTATACCAAATCAATTTTCCTATTGGATTCTAATTTTGGACTTGCACGTACATGTACTAATATACAAATCAAAATAGGCATGACTATTATAATATAATTATAGACGTTAGAGATTTCTGCAGAACAAACTGATTTTTACCCAGGAATACACAAGTTTCTATGTTTGGATTTCTGGACAGCTGGACAAGGTGGGAAGTTTACATCAATTAGCGTGACCTTTACTCTGCAGGTGCTACAGCCTCTGATCTCGACGTTACAAGAATGCCCGAGGTAAAAGTCCGAGGTGTAGTTATCAGGATATTCGTATGACGTCACATATCCGTAATCTCCTTTCTCCACAGAAAATTTGACTGTTTCGTGATTTTGAAAACATGACGTTGTTCCTGAAAATTCAAAAAGCATACTATTAAAGAACTATGGATATCTTTTAATAAGAATAAAATTACTTGTATTACTGTTTTACATTAAGTTCTGGACCCTCGTGCCAAATATTGATAACAGATACAAGTTTAAAGTATGAATTTATTTAATGAAGCAAAATCAACAATATCAATTACGATAAATTATATTCTGATGATTTTATTATAGGAGTTCTGACTTCAGGGTGTGTGGTCTACTAAGTACATGTAAATCTGTGTGTTCAAGCATCTGAAGAAGCAAGTTACTTTGAATTAATAAACAAATAAAGATAACAACGTTTTAGCTTGATTGAAGTAAAACAAAATGATGCATTAGAGTTTCACGAACCTCTGTCCTTTCCGACCTGAAGACAGGCCCCTGACATTATTAAAGTGGAAGTTAATAGCCAATCTGGAACATATAAAGTAGATAAAAAAGATTATGAGTGAATCTCTTCTCATTTTTTAAAGCGATACATGGCAACTGACACGACGCCTCTCTGCAAATTGATTTTTCTACCACGGAGTTTAAAGTCATAAAGAAAGCTCATTTAAATTTTAATTTAAAAGTTTTACAATTAGGAAGATTCTTTGAAGCTATCACATTTTTTTATTTGACATTTACCACAATTTCATTATTTATTTATGACAAAAATTTAATTGAAAAACGTCTGTCTTTTTATATATTTGTATATTGAAGAGCGCGTGTGTATTGGGTTTGTGCTTTGATGATTTTTACTGTTTACCCGGTACCATTTTTCCTTCCTTAATACTAGTATAGGGATGAAAGTAATTTACTTCCTAAATATGATTACCACAACAAAGCTTTATTTAACAGTTGCAAAGTATATACACTAACAACCTGCGCTTGGGAACTGATAAACCTTTCAAAGATATCGAACTAAAACAATATTTATCTTTTTAGAAACATTCCAGAAGAAATGCTAATAACAACATGTCATATTTCAAACATGCGATACGAAACGAAAAGTACACTTAAATTATTTAACTAAAATAAAACGACTGCGAAAACATCACTAAAGCTTGAAGTATTCTTCACTCTGTGTTAGATTATAGTATTTTTAAATTTGTAGACGTTTATTTACACTCAGCCAATTTCTCTCTCCTATAAAAACAAAGATGTTGAAATGTTGATAAGGGGAAAAAATAGCAATCACACTGGGGCAGAAATGCGTTGAAATGAAATATATTGTTCACATATCAAAAGAATTCCAATAGAGCAACCTCTTAGAATCCGTGGCCCTTTTTTGAAAATTTCTTTGCATTATTTAAATATTTTACTTTATTATTTAACATTATTTTATACTTGTTTATTCATACAAAAATAGAGCTAATAGTTCAGCAAACCCACTAACCGACATTATTGAATATTTTATATTTTAGCGAATTATAACATATTAAAAGGTTGTAACAGTGTAAAAGTGTATTATTAAAAACAGAAAGAAAATATTTGAACTTTTATTTTGTTTAACGTTAAAAGTTAAAATAATTTATATGATCACACCTAAATAAATATTTTACCACACAAATAATTTAAAACAAAGTACATATTGTTATGTAATCAATAAAGGCTATTAAATAAAATTTATTGAAACAATATACTTACCTATTAAAAATAAGCGTTCCTTTTCTACTTAGAAATTCCATCCTATTCTATTGAATGATCAAACTGGGCAACTAAAGCACTGTAACACTTGTGTAGAATGAGGTCTCGTCGCAACAGCTAATTAAGATGCTTTGAATGCATGTCACCAACTGGTCAACTGTGAAAAATAAACACACACATTTCTCAGTTACAGACCGAGTTTTAAGAATTGGTTGCGTACTTTCAAAAAGCTCTCGAACTCAAGTATGAAAAGCAACTTGACGTGAAATATCGTAAATATCCGCGACGGGGAAAAAAGTACTGATCATTCACGCGAGCTGCCCCACGTGATCGGTCAGTTAAACACCCACCACTAATCGCCACTGACATTTTGTAAGATTACAACTTCAAACTTGGAAAAGGTAACCGACAGTGATTGTACCTTTTTTAATGATTTATGAAAACAACAGCTGTTTCTAAGGGAGTTTTTTCTTGCCTACAAAACTGCATGAGACCAAAGACCCGTAGAAACATTCCTTGCATGACATGAGAAATTAAGAAAATAAAATTATCAATCCTCTCTTTTGCTTATTAAGCCAAAGACGCTAAAATAGATCAATTTTACGCCAGCTTCAAACAAGCGTTGAATGACACTCGGTCGACAGACATAGCTATATATCAGTAAAGTTAATTTTTGTTGCTTTGTAGATGTATACACCAATGTTAGACAGTTTAGAATTATTGCCAGATTTCAGCGATTTCCCCTCCTCCCTTCAACACCTTAATAACTTCTCCAGAAGGAATAATTCGCTCATTACATGCATCATCAAAGATATATTACATCGGAAAATCATGTGTTAATTATCATTATTTTATTGTATATAGGAAATGTATGGACTTAAACAATTTGTGAATGAATTTTTTTTTATTAATGTGGCATAACTTGTTAATTATTTCAATGCCAATTTGTGATGTATGGACATTGTAAAATATATTTACCATTCCTTTTTTTTTTAATTAATGGCATTGCTAATGAGAATTCTAAAACAAAATCGATTTCATCTAAAACTTGTTAATTATTTCAATGCCAATTTGTTCATTAAATAAGAAATCACACATTTGCTTTAACAACGTTTCTATTTCATACATTGCACTGCGCATGTGAATATATACCGGTATGTTTTAATATACATATGTTCAAAGCATTTCAGCAAGATATTAATCTATCTTTGGTTGAAAACCAAGGGAGTTATAGCTGTTCATATTGCACGTACATGCACGTGTATGCATGTGCATGGTGACCATGTCTTCTTGTAGAAGTCCATTATATCTATCTATGTTCCAAATCCCATCCTGTTTGGTGGAAAACCAAGGGAGTTATAGCTATTTAAAGCATAAGCCAATCAGATTGCAGCGCACGTGCATGCACGCGTTTTCAAAATAATTGCTATATATCTTATTGTAATATCCTAATGCATTCTATATTTAAAATTTCAAAGGATAAAAAACAAGAAAGATGAGACTTTATTTAGCCAATCAGAGCAAAGCGCACGTGCATGCGCGTGAGATCTTGCTTTTTTGACCATGTCATCTTGTCTATGCTTCTAATATATACTTCTAATATGAGTTTTAAAGCATATCATCAATAATTTAAATAGTTAATGACATTTCTCGTGTTGCAAGAAGCACACGTGCATGCACATGCTTTCATGATATTTCTTTTATTACGGGCTGTAGATCTCCCTAATGTATGTCTTTTTGACTATGTTCAAAATTTCAAATGATTTTATCAAAAAACAAGAAAGATATTGAGACTTTAGTTTCAGCCAATCAGAGCGAAGCGCACGTGCTTGCACGTGCGATCTTGCTATTTTGACCATGTCATCTTGTGCATACTACTCATATATCCTTACATTATGAGTTTCAAAACATTTCGTCTAAAAATAGAAAAGTTACGGTTATATCCATTATATATTGGTCATTTCAAGTTTTGCACGTGCGCGCTCTTGCAAGCACGTGCGCGCAAAATGACCTTGATTCCGCAAATCTACATAACATGCCTACTTACCCTAAAAAGGTTTCCCCTTAATCGGATGTGTACTTTACAAGATCATTCGCGGACAAAATTTTCCCGAGAAGAAAAATAATAATAATAATAATAATAATAATAAGAAACAGAGTAAAAACAATATGTTCCCCAACTTCGTTTGGGGAACATAATAAAAGGATTTCCAAATAATGGAATTTAGATTCGACATCTAATACATACATCTGTAATGATGTAAGACCCTATATGCCGAGACTGTCCTCTCAATTATATGTTCAGGGGGCGAAATAGAGGATTTAAAAAAATAGAAAGATAATGATCTGCGAAGTGACCGTCAAATAGGACAAACGCCGGGACGGGGGGACACTACGAGGTGCCCTAATCCTTTTACGCATTGTTATCCCCTTGGCACTTTGTCGCCTTAAAGATGAGCTGGCACAAATTAACCGCAATGCCTCTTTACATCTGCTAGAAAAGGTGTATTCCGCCGAAAGTATCGAACAAAAGGTCAACCATTTAAAATAGGAGGGAAAAAAAGAAGGAGGTAAAAAAGTGAAAAGCTCAGTTAATTTCGCACCGCAAGTCTTCTGCTATCTTAAGCATTGTCGAAACAATTTATCACCTAATCCAGTTCCACAACTGAAAGGAATGAGTTTACTCTAAGTGTATATAAAACACTACTCTCTGGGAACGATAACGCTTCCGTTTGTATATACAAACAGCTCTTAAGAGGACAGCGAAGTTTATAGAAACAGAGTCCATCTGATAAGACGTAATCTAAGATAAAAAAGGATATTTCTCAAGGTGCAGCAATTGTATCTATCATATTAAATCATCATGCCCTCAAATTAAAAAAAAAGGGTTGGGGAGATATCGAAAAATGTTTTTTTTTTTCGTTTTGGTTTACTAGTATTTAAAACTACGAACTGTTTCAATGGGATAATCAATGTATGAAGAGAGCCCTTTTCCAAATTTCTTTTTTTTTTTCTAAAAAAAAAAATTCAGTCAAAGATAATGTTCATAAACACAGTTTGTCATCGACAAAATTTCTGCAAGGTGACTAATACTTGCAGATATTTATTAAGTTATGTTATGCCAAATGAATTAATCTTTTTCCATATTATTTTCTAACATTTTGTTTGGTTTATCGGGAATAATAAAGTGCCTCTTACAGATGAAACAACAGCGACACGTTAAAGTTAATGACTCAAAAGATGAGGCTGATTGTATCATTAACTTTATGGACCCGACTCCCTAACAACGAAAATGCGCTAACAGAATAGAAAATTTTTACGACGCCAATCGCAATATTTGTCAATTTCAAAATAGTCTTTACATCTAAATTTTTTATCAGATAAAAATATTTCAACGTATACATGCATACATTTTTCTTTATTCTGCTAAAAATAAATTACATGTACATGTTCATGTAAGACCTCTTATTTCTGTTTTTTTTTTCTTTTGTGCATTAAATGAAATCATGGATGGTTTAGATTTCGAAAATAACAAACGTAAGTCCATTTTGTACATTAATTGATCCAAGTCCTTTATATTTGCTCTATTAAATTCATAATCTTACCTTAGAGATGCATGTCCAAGTTAATCAATATAATGAGCCACAGGAGAACTACTTATCTCTCTCACAAAACCTTGATTGACGGAATATTGAACACATGTATATTTATATACCAGAGGCAAAAACCACCAAGACACGTATATTGGTACACTATAACTCTAACGTCAAATCGAGGTGGCACCTGAAACATCAAAATCTCAATCACTACGCACAAACTGTTAGATCCCGAGTATGAAAACACCCGGATAATCGCGTCTCAAAGGAGAATTGACAAATTTTAAGATTATAACATCGTGCTATCTTGTTAATTTTAGCCGAAGACAATTAAATTTGGATGTTTGATTGTTTGCCGGATGTCAGAATGCCCGTCTTAACGACTTTGATGCGCCGTTTCCTTATTTCAGAGTCTACTTGACTATTATTATCATTATCGTTTTTTATATTAACTTCTCGATCCCATTTTTTAAAAGCCTGATTAAGTTGGCTGTAGTTGATTATAAAGTTTTAAAAAACTTGATATATACTTTATAACGTGAGGTACTTGAATAAATCACAGAAACCAATTATTCAACAGAAAGGAGTTTTCACTTTGTCAGCACAGAGGAATAAATTTTGTAGTGTTTGCCAGGAAAACTTTAATATGACAGCATAAATTTTTCATTCAGCTTTGATTTAAGATGATAATAGAGTAGGATAGATATAACATTCTTGGTTTTGATTCTCTTTATCTCGGATAATGATGTCTGTAAAAAGTGTAGACAAGAGACGAGCAAAACTTTCCAGGAGTGTTCGAATAATTTTACTTTCTTTTATTTTCTAAAGTTTGGGATGTTGTTCTTTAAATCATTAAAACAGATTTTTAAAAATTAGATTCAGATGATACATGTATTTGTACATAAATCATGTTATTAATTGATTATAATGGATACATTACAGGTAAACATTAATTTCCATCCAAATGAATGACATATGACAACCTTATCAGCTCCTGTTTTCATAACTGCAGGGCTTAGACATGTTTTCACGCTATTAGTGTGACCATTCGTCGGATTTGACACTTCGATGACGTTTCGCAGCGGTTCTTGTAGAGCCTAAAACAATGAATGAAAGTAGTTTATTTTTAAGAAAATACTTGTTTACATTTAAAGCAACGTTTCACCTAAGATGACCTTCAATCAATAACTCAATTATAGGCATATTTGAAAGACAACACGTTTCGATATGACAAAATATATGACATAAGTTTGGGCTTAACATTGAATAGCATTAACATGGAGTCATCTATTTAGCATAATTAAAAGTACGTCGGGGATTTTTGATTTCAGATACAACGGCAAATGTATAAAAATCAGTCATATATAGGCGGGCACCATAATTCATTGAAGGGTTATGTTACTTTTCGTACCAACTACATGTATGTTGGTATTTGGTATTCTTAATCTACAAAATTCCCGTTTGGACAACTTAGGTATTCTGTTAAATGCAGAACTGCTGCTCTCCGAAAACAATAAATTGACAGACTGGAGAGCTACTGAACCACCCACTGAAAAAAGTGTATATTTGTTGCGCACAAAAAAGTGCGCTGTTTCTCGATTTATTTCTCCATGTTTTTAAACTGCCAGTTCAAAATATTACTAACCGTGTGTTCCTAACATATTCTTTTACTTTTTTCACAACAAACATTTCCCTTGACCGTTGTAATTCAAGCCCTCCTGGGCCTGAA